GTACCTGCTTCCTCACAAAGTGCTTAAAGCACCACTCCCTGGAGCGCCTCCATCCGGGCAAGCGCACCTTTGTCCTTTCTGTACTCCCCTCCCTTGCCTTCTGCAGCATTTCCTTCACTTCCGGCCCATTGGAAACCGGCAGCGGGTTCTGCCTCACCTAAGGATGAAGTGAGCTGTCAACATCCCTGAGCAGCTCTTAGACTCACTGAGCGGATGGGGGCAGCAATCACCCCTGTGTCACAGGTCTTCCCATCACTAAGGAGTGATCCACCTTCCCATGCACCTTCACTCGTGAAAGTCTTTGCCAGATCCCTACCTAGTCATACTGCTCATGCCATTTGTACTGATGACCTTGTCCTGTACCTGTAGAAGGGTTGGCTGTATGTTAGCTGTGCCTTTTAACTTTCCAATGTCTGGCTGTATGGGGCCTTGCTCATCCTGGAGCACCCTGCCCAGCTCTGCCAAAGGTTAACTCATTCCCAGTAATGAGAGGCTTGGCTGCATGCTTTAATCACAGACTAACCAATCTAGAGGCCATACCTTAACCACATTCTACACGTAGATTAGACTCTTAAACTAGCAACTACCCACCAGCTACGATCACCCCAGGACTGAGTAGCAGACAACTGGGGACAGCCCCATGCCTCCACACTAGCTGACCCCGAATCTTCCTATGATGCCTCAACTAGTCTCTCCTGAAGAGACTTCAATAAAGGACCCTGCATGCACTGTCCCCTTCCTCCCTGCTCTCTGGTCCTTTCTCGTACAGCCCTATGGACTGTTGTGTGATCCTTTCTCTTCAGAATTGTGAGCAATAAACTATTCTTCTTACTGACATCCACAGAGCTCTTGGTTCCACTCTACCTGGATAAGTGGAAAATCTACAATTGAGAGCACAGGCTTCTTCCACTGCCTTCAGCACTGGGACCTCTGAAGCAACTGATCTCATCCCATCCCCTCCAGACTCCAATGACAAGAGGGGGCTCTGGGCTCCCTACTCCTGAGCCCCTCCAATTCAAAGACTCAGCCCCAGTCACAGCATCCTCTCTTATCCTCATGAGTCACACTGGGTCCACTGACAAATCTCCATGGGGTCACTTCCAAAACACCTCTCCAGTCAGACATGCAGGTGAGTCTACTGTCCCCTTGTGTAGGCATTGCCTCACTTCACACAACCCAATGCACAGTGCCTGCCTCTGTCTAACAGCGCAAAAGGACAGATCTTAGAGCATAGGTGTGCTGGGTAGTTTTATGTCAACTAGACACAAACTAAAGTCATCTGAGAAGAGGGAACCTCGATTAAGAAAATGTCTCCAATGACTGGAGCAGTGGCTCAGAAGTTAAGAGCACTGGCTGCTCTTCCAGAGGTCCCGAGTTTTTCCCAGCAACCACATGGTAGCCCACAACCATCTATAATGAGATTTGGTGTCCTCTTCTGGCAGGCAGACATAAATGCAGGCAGAACACTGCATCCATAATAAATAAATAAATCTTAAAAAATAAAAAGAAATGAAGATGTTTAAAAAAGAAAAAGAAAAGAAAAGATCTCCATAAGATCGGATGGTAGGTAAGCCTGACAGTAAGTGGCATCCCTCTGTGGCCTCTGCATCATTTCCTGCCCCCAGGTTCTTGCCCTGTTTGAGTTCCTGTCCTAACTTCCTTGAATGATGAACAGAATATGGAAATGTAAGCCAAATAAACCCTTTCCTCCCCAAGTTACTTTAGTCGTGGTGTTTCATCACAGCAATAGAAACCCTGACTAAGAAGATATCGGTCCCAGAATAGTGGAGTATTGCTGTGAAAGACCTGACCATGTGTTTCGGGAATAACTGTGGGATTTCAGAACTCTGAGCCAGAAAAGCCACTGAGTATTCAAAGTTTGGTGACTGGTGAGAGCTTGGAAGATAAAAATGTTGAAAGCAGTACAGAAAATGGAGGCCTGGCTTGTGACATTTTAGAGGAAAGCAGACTCTAGTAGAAAATTTGTGTGAAGAATCTGTGGCAGATTCTTCTGGTCAGCTGGAGCAGAAGAATCAGCTGTGAATAACAAGAGACCAGAGCCACTAAAGGAAAACCTTTGCTTTGCTGGGACAATGCATGCTGGTTGGCTGGGGTTGAATTTTGTCTGTGAGCTCATCCTTGTCAAGAATTTCCTTCCATGTGAGCCTTGTGTGCCTCCTTAGGGTGCTTTGTTGACTCTAGAAGGTCAGAGTATCTCAGCCTTGGCAAGTGTCTAAAATTTGTGTATGCATGCGCGGTTCAGACTTCAAAGCTTTGATTTTTTTTTTTAGAGAGAGAATTTTTTTTTCTGTTCACAGTTCAGGGAGTCAGCCAGTTGTGGGTGGAGACCCTGTGGTGAGGAAAGACTTTCTAGTCTTTGATTCTAGAATTTCTTCAAGGAGCTCAGTTCTAATTGTATACCAAGCCTGTATTTAGTCTTTTCTCTGTTACTAAAACAAAATGTCTGTGCCAGGGCAACATACAAAACCCACAGTTTTGAAGGCTGATAGACCCAGATGAAGAGCTAAGGTGGGTGGAATCACAGTAACAGAACGTGTGTGACAGAGATGGCAAGAAGGACATTGGAGAGCTTTGAGGGCTCGGTTACTCACTGAGTGTGTCAATCCCACGGGCATACCTCTAATGACCAAACCATGAAACCCCAAACTTTGAATACCACCATACTGAAAACTAAGCCTCAGGCACAAGAATAGGTGTGGAACAACCCACATCCAAACCACAAGGTGTCGTTTGAATCTAGTGTCCTCACAGGCTCATGCTTTAAGCACTTGATGCCCACTTGGCGGCACTATTTTGGGAGGTTCTGGAAAGTTGGGAGGAGGTAGGCTATTCAGGGTGAGTCCTTGGGGGTTTATCCATGCCCACTTCCTAGTCTACTTGACAGTGATGTGGACAATGTCTGCCATCACCGCCACCACTATGAACTGAACTGGTTGGACATACCTTCCTTCTGTGGTGGACTGAGACTCTCTGAACCAATGGGCCACAGTATACCCTTCCTTCCCCAATGGGTTTCTGTCAGGTACCAGGTTAGCGCTTAGCAGCAACAAATACATCCAAGAGATCAGTTCTAGCCTGTGGGCAGGTCCCTAGGGTGCTGTCAGATTTGGAAACTTCATGCTGCCCCCATGATGGCTCTGTCGGAATCCCCTCCTTCCAGTGCAGCTCAGCACGGTATTTTTGTGGTGATTTGTTTTATTCAGCAGTCATATGCATATAGAAAAACCCCTGTCTGTCTGTCTGTCTGTGTCTGTCTGTCTACCACCTTGACTAGAAGATCCCTTCCACACTTTTATCTTCATGACTCGACCCCACCACTTGCAGATTGAGGATTCTGCCTTGGGCAACTGGTCTGCTATCCCTCATAGCTCCTGGGCTTCTCAGCCTTCTCCTTAGACAGGGAGCAGCCACCAAGCATGCCGCCAGGCACCCTGAGTACAGAGAGTAAATACCTTCTTGTTAAAGAAAAGTGTGTCACTTCCTGTACTTTGCCACCAACAGCTGGTTGTGCTGGCTGATGCTACCAATCACCTCTCCCTCCAGCAACCACTGAAGCAAGTCTGTCAAAAACCCAGTCAACAGGAGGAGACGGCAGGACAGTGGTCATGAGAGAGGTGAGAAGAAAGGACAGGCAGCCACACAGTCTGTGCAGCCCCCGATTCTCGAGGAGCCTTCCAAGCCTAGTAGGAAAAGACTGGATACATTTCTTCCCAAAATTGCTGCGGCTCCTCCACACAGGTTTCTATGAAGGGTTGAAACAACAACTGTAGTAGCAGTAGTTAATACTTACAGGAATTAAGACCTGACACATCTGAGTTATCTCAAATACTACCAATATAAATATAAAACATAATAATCATGTTGATCATAACCATGAACATATGTGATACTAGGTGACAGGCATCAATCAAGGTGTCTCTACTAATTCTCCCAACCCAATTATTTACTATTACGACCCAGGGCACTGATGAACTTGGCCAAGGTTACAAGCCTATTCGGTGGTAGAACTCGAGGCTCTATCTCCAAGTCTCCCTCCAGACCTACCCCTCATGTGCCTTTTTGCATCAGTCATTTTAGTCTTTAAAAGAACCCCAGGTAGAACAATTATGATCCACTCTTTATAGTTCTGAGCAAGCAGGGAATTAGAGCCATGGAACAAATTCCTGGGGCTGGCCCAGCCAGAGCTAAGCATGGGGAGTGGTACCTTCCATCACACACAGGAGTATGGCACATGTTAAAGTCCCTGAGTGTCTCTCAGAAATAAAAACAATTTGTTTTTTTAAATCTGTACAGTTTAAAAGTTTTTCTTCTTACAGCATATTCATATTCCTTAGACAGTGAGGTCACACCCCAAACAGTTTATTCAATAACCCCCCCATCCAAAGTTGATAACTCAAAAACTTGTTACATGATGGTTTTTAAAAGTCATATTAATTAATCTTAAGCACAATGAACAAACTTTTTTTTGTAAGGGATTATATAATAAGTATTTTCAGCTGTGTGGGCCACACCATTGCTGACACAGTAACTATAGGCAATGCATTTGTGAACACATGAGAATGACTATCTTCCAATAAATCATTATTTGCAAAAGTAGATGATGAGCAGATTTGGGCAATGGGCTGAAGTTTGTTCATTCCTCACCTAGAGGAGGTAGAGAGCATTTCCAAATCATTCCTTCAGCACCTCCCTCCACACGTCCCATTCTAACACAAGACCTCCCCACCATTTATAGGTTAAGTCCATTTATAGACATTCATGTCAAGGTCCTATGTGATAGAGAGAAGCAGATCAGTGTGAAGCCATTGGTAACTATTGGAGTTAAGGAATGGGACAAAGAGTCTCATTCCACAGGATGAACAATGTAAATAGGGGTAGAGGAGTGTGTATGTGTGTGTTTGTGTGTGTGTGTGTATGTCTGTCTGTCTGTCAGAAAACTCATGCTAACACCGTGGAGGGACATCATGAAGGATACTCACGACCAGTAGAGCAGCATGAGCAGGAAGGGACAGATGATGAGGGCCTGCAGCACCTGCCAGTCCCGGCACAGCGCGGCCAGCCCTGGCATGAGGAACTGGCCTGCCATGGCCACGAAGCTTGCCACCATGGTAATCATGAACCGTTTTCCTGGAGGGCACAGTTCTATTCCTAGAAAACAAACAATAAGAGAGACGTGAGTGCTGTTTGCTTGCTGGATGACTGGGGAGCCCCCGTGCTAGGATGTCATTGGATACGTGGGGGAACTGAGGCCTGATGGGGGAAGAGAGTGAGGTCATTGCTCAAGGTCACAAAATAAGCTGGTGGGAAGGACATTGCATTTCTAAGTGCTTAGCTCAGGAACCAAGGTATGCTGCTTGTGGAGACAGAGTTGGCATCCTCGTCATCCCCTTTCCTTTGCTCTTTGGCACTGCAGAGCTTGCTGGGCAGCAGGTCCCCTTGCTGCCCATGCCATCAGCTTCCCTTTCAACCTAAGGTATGCCCTGGGAACCCTCTCAGCCTCTGCAGAGGTCATCAACAAGGTCTCTCTGCTCACTCTTCACCTGCATGGCCATCCGTACTCCTCATCTTACACCAGTACTCAGTGAAGACTTAAGTTCATCCCCGCTGTAAAACCAGGACAGACTGACCACACTGTACAAAACAAAGGCAAAGCCACCCGGGGCTCACGATGACCTTGCAGGAACGCTCCTGCACCATTCTGAATCCTACTGTCCATTAGCATGCGCATGTGGCATGTTCTTTCCCGACAGGGGCCATGTCTAATTCATCAGCTGAGCTGCACAATGGAAAAAAGAGTCCATCTTCAACCAAGACCCACTAAATGGAATAGACCATGATCCCTCCTGTCCACAAGAACCCATTCTCTGAATTTGACCCTTGTTAACAAAAAAAAGCAAAACAAAACAAAACAAACTCTCAAAACTTTAAACTTTCTGGAGCACTCATCGGACAATCAATACGGACCTAATACATGAATCTCTATGACAATGGTCTTTAATATTAGAAAAAGTAGTTGGGTTCTATACACACACACGCACACACACACACACATACACACACACACACACACACACACACACACCTATAGACCATGCAGATTTATTTGCTGTTGTTTTTCTACATTGTGCAATAGTCACTAATTTTTTCTTTCTTGCTTTCTGTTGGCAGGGGTAGGGGGAGCAGTTCAAATGATTAAAAGAGAAAAGGAAGAAAGGCCCCTTGGGAGAAAACGCTCTTACTACCTTCATGTCCAGAGCCTGTTCCACAGCTTGGCCTTGAGGCTTAGTTACAGTAGCTTATCTGCAGGCTGTCCAGAGACCACAGCAGGACAGCAGGTCAAAGGCAGTAGGCAGGGGACAGATGAAAAGGAAAGTGGATAAATCACACTTGGCTACAAGGATATCATCAGTCCTAACGAGCGCAGGGCACTGTGCCAGCCAGCATCCACGCTAGCTCGCTGCAGAAGAAATATAATCCTGTTAGCAATTTCTGCTCCTTCCTGGCCACAAATAGTCATTATCATAGCTGCTGGCGAACAGGAGAAACCTGCTCTTACCGCACAGAGCTTATAAGGGAAGCTTTTGTCACTAACTAGGAAAAGAGGACGGCAGGGCCCTCCTGGACCATTTGCTGTGATGCTGTCCCTCTCTGTGACACTTCAGTGATACTTCTTGGCATGGTAGGGTGTGCCATTTCTGCTCTCCAAACCAATAAAGGAACGTCTTTTCTGAATGGAATAACAGCGTGGTTTCTACTGTTCGCTCAGTAAGCACAAGGAGACTTGTTTGGGAAACCAGGAATCTGTATCAGCCAGAGTAGGCTTGGTGTGGGAGGCCCGACAGACACCAAGGAAAAAAATCGAGCACACGTATGACCTTTTAAAAAGGCCAGAGGGATGATGTTGGAGGAACCTGATGGATTCGTGCTAATGAGTTTGCTAGTGCCACAGACTGTGCATCGGAGCTTTCTCCTCCGCTACCTTCCTTTAATTCAGTGACACAATTGTGTGAAAATGCCTACGACTGCACTAGTGCCCCGTTGTCTCAGGTTCTGTTTCCCATACTTGAGCTTCCCAGAGTCAGCCACAATCTGAAAATATTAGATGGACATTCCATAAGTAAACAGCCCACACATTTTAAAAACAGGTATTTATAATTATTGAGCGTACGTGTGCATGCACATGACGTGGTGTGGGTGCACATGCCACACTCTACATGTGGATGTCAGAGGACATCTTTGTGGAGTACGTCCTCTCCTTCCACCTTTACATGGGTTTCTGGGATCAAACTCAGGTTGCCAGGCTTGCATGGCAAGCAGTCTTACCTACTCTACAACCGTTTCCCTTTAAACCATACATAATTCTGAGAGGCATGATGAAATCACTGGGGTGAATCAGCTTTCTGTCTAACATATCCATGCTGGGTAAGTCGCCTGCTAGGAGTCATCCAGTGATGTCTCAGTTTTCAGATTGACATGCTATTACATTTCACAGGTGTGTGTGTACGTGTATTATTTCTCTGCACGACATATCCATGGCATGTCAGTTATCTGCTTACTTGTGGCTCAGTGATGTCTCAGACTAACTGCCATGCCATTGCAGTTCACAGATGTGTGTGTGTGTGTGTGTGTGTGTGTGTGTGTGTGTATTTCTCTGTATGACATACCCATGGTATATAAGTTACCTGCTTGCTGGTCATTAAGTGATGCCTTGGTTTTCAGACTGACCGCAATGCCAGTCCATGGGTATGAATCACCCCTCTGTCCGACACACCCACACTGTATCCTGACTGCTCAACACCGAGCAGTTTCAGGTTTCAGAGTAACTGATGTGCCATCCGACTCCATGAGAGTGAATCACCCCTCTTTCCTACGCGCCCACTCCACAGAAGAACTTGCCATTGGCCATTCAGTAACATTTCACTCGCCTGAAGGAGCCTGTGGTACCGCAGAGCTTGTGGTCAGGTGACCCTTATTTTAAACCTCATAATGACCATGAACTTAAGGAATAGTGATGGTGGGAATTCAGATATACCAAGAGTTGCAATAAAGGGCTCATTTTAAGAGGACAGATGAGTATTACAGATAAGAAAAAGACATGTGGAGGTTGCTAAGACTGACAGGAAGGAAGCAGCACAGTGCTCCCAGGGCGTGGTGCTTGACCAGCTTTCAGGCTTCCCCTATGGTCTTGGGATACACTGCCACACATAAGGAAGGGTGGGGACGAACACTCAGTCCTTCAGCACAGCTCTCTTGGTGTTACCTAGTCCTACACAATAATCTATAGTTCCGTGTAGTCAGGAAAGAACAGTGAGGAGACCTCTGAGATCATGACCAGCATTTGAAGAGGAGTGAGGAAAATGGTGCCTTGATGGGCAAAAGACTCTGTAATCCCCCCTGGCTGCAAATGTGATAGCTACTGAATTTATTGGTGTGACTATCAGCATGACAACTGTTAAACACTTCTAACTTTTCTTCTGGAGGTCCCCCTCTGTAAGAGGGTGAACCTTCCACTTCTTGTACCCCAAGCGGGAGCCACAGACCTGCAGTGTCTGCATCATACGCAGATGGGCCAGGCCTGTGGGGCCTACATTTGAGCAAACTCCTCAGGCTTAGCTCTCTAATTGCCTCTCACAGAACATGGAGGATAAAGCAGTTTACTGTCTTCTGACCTCTCCATCCTGCTTGTGGTTGGAATCCCAGCACAGACTTGATCTGACTGCATCAGACAGAGGCAACCATGGGCCAGCAAGTATCTGCTAGCCTTGCTTTTCTGCTGGGGAGTTGCAGTGACCTCAGCAGGGCACAGGTGTGATCATTTGCTGATGACTACCTTTTTGGTGCCTTAACTCACCAGAAATTCTTTCCCTACTGCCTGAATCCAACTAAGCCATGATGGTAGCTATAAAAATGTGAAGAAAACGAAAAGCAATTATCAGGTTCCACATGCATTTTAGCCTTGTCATTGATTGCGCGTTCCTTTTGGAAGGTGAGAGATCAGGCTTTTTTGAAAGGGCACAAAAAGCATCTATGCGCACTTCGAGCACGAGCCCTATGCATCATTACTATAAACGATGGTCCCGCTATCACTCAGCCTCTGATCTCATCATCCACAGTGAGATGTATTTGGTCTTATTTACTGTTCACCTGATCCAGTGATTTTTTTTTTCAGAGTAGGCATGAAATTTGTTCTATAAGACAAGAGGAAAAATGTTCCTTTCTGCTCCTCTGTCTGTTTTATTCCATGGAAGGTCAGAACTGAGGTGTTGGGGTGTAGCTCAATGGTTCAGCACTTGCCTAGTATAGGGCTCTTTATTTCCAGCATCGCAAGAAGCAAAACAAAACACCAAAAGAACAAGAGCTAGAAATAAGTTAATCCAAGAAGAGCACATCAAAACTTCCCATTATTCAAACTTCTCTCAGGTTGTAATGGAGAAGGGTTGCAGCAACCCTTAGAAATTGGCTATGACTGCTAATCCTCACAGTCAACCTGACTGAGCTTGAGCATCAAGGAGACACAGCCCTGGACATGTCTGCAAGGGCATTTTTAGAAAACTTTAACTGAGGAGAGAAGACGCACCTTGAGTGCAGGCGACACCATTTATTTCATGAGCTGGGGTCCCAGAGGGAACAGAAAAAAAGAGGAAGCCAACTGGACAACAGCAGTCATGTGACCAGCCACCTCTCCCTCAGGCCCCACAGCCAGGACCTCCTGACTGACGATGAGGCCAAAGGAGCCCTTCCTTAAGTTGTTTTTTGGGTATCAACAATGAGTAAGGAATATATTAGCTATGCTTTGTTGATGAGCAGAAAAACCGCTCAAAGTTCTGAGAATGAAACGGCATGTAAGTAAGAGAGAATGGAGGCGTTTAATTGAGAAATAAGAAAGTCAATAAACAATAATGAGGGCTGTGGCCAGGAAAGTTTGAGTCTAGGCTGTGGGGACGCCTGAGGTTCTGTAGGAATGATGGCCTTGCTCAGAGGCTGCAACTCAAGAAAATCTGCCTTTCACAAACTGGCAGCAACTGGAGAGAGGAAAGGGGCTCTGTCCTGTGTACCTCCTCCATCCTAAGATTTGACAGCCAGTCTGAAGAGAGAGAAAACCGTTCAGAGGCCTCCCCCACTTGGGAATCCCTGCATCTTACCGCGGC